AACTTATTGATATTTGATTAGGTCTCTGGATCCTTAAAAGGCAGCGTGGGCAAAACCAAGAATTTTAAGTCTCATCAGATTGTGATGCCCGTCCCTCTAATTAAGCTTTTACACACTTTTTGACGAATAATTCGTCTTAATGAATGAGAAAGTCGCTCCGTCTCGTTTGGGTCACCCCGCCCCCTCAGCAATTTCCCTCCCTAAATTGGCACAGTGGGCATCTCTACCAACAGTGCTCTCCAGCAAAAAAGTTTCAGGATCAACTTGAAATTCGTGCCGGTGCAATGTCCCCAATACACGAATGAATCTCTGCTTTTCGGTAATCTTACGGTAATTGATGTTAATTTCAATGTTCAATCCCGGAAAGTCCCAAAATGATGAAGAAACTTAGTCTAAGATTTGTTCGAACATTGCCTAGGGCGAGGAAAAAGCTTAAAAGATAAGCTGATTTTGAAGCATTCCTCACCTTCTCAATTAAGGAGGTCCGACTTTGGCCTCTATCCAATTTGTCAAACGTTGGACGCGGTTGTGCAGACCTGGGATGGACGGAATGACCATTGCCAACTTGTAGCGTTGATGTAGCTACGCCTTCACGAACTTTTGTCTCGACATTAGCGCCTAAAACATGCGCTTCGCCGCCGATTCGCTACGCGCTCGTTGTTCTCGGTTTTTTAAAAGTAAATTTGCCACCGCAATCTATTAATCACATTAAATCCTGCAGCACATGTTATAAAAAACGCACAGCAATGCTAATTTCAGCAAATTGTGTCAGCATCTGCACAGCAATCTCTGCTATTCAAGAATTAAACCACTCCCATACCTGTAGAAGTCTCATTGCCTAGACTTGTGATAGAATGTGCTCTGGCGCTTCGTCTTCGCTGTTGTGGATGACATCCGGCTGGAGAATTATGAAGGCAGAGTATAGGTAGCTGCGCGCAAGAGGATAGTTGCACGAGTAATCTGAAAATTCGTCCTAATGCAGGTGATTTTCGTAGTGTAAAGACAATGGCTTCAAAAATCTTCTGATAACAGAAGAAAATGAATTGCAAACTAGTGCTAAGAGAAAGGGAGAGAGTTAATGAGTAAAATAGATAAGAGAGGGTGAATAGAGAGGAGAAAGCAGAGGAAGGCAGAATATAGAAAGGGGAGTAAGGAAGGAGAATATTGAGGAAGGAAAAACACAGAAAAAGGACTAAACAGGAGAGCTGGATGATGTAATAATATTTGTATATAGCTAGTCGGTAACTCACCCTATACCTTACATTTCTTTGCTCTTTACCAATTCTTAACATTCCCTATGTAATGTAGTGAGAATACCGTTTGTCATGCTCTTTGCTTACAGATCGTACAACTTCGGGAACAACGCGCTTAGCCTTATAAGGAGAGGAGGAGCCGACTGGAGGAAGTCACGGGCAGAAAGGAACCAAAAATCATCCGAGCCAGCTCACTTTGTGGCTCTTTCTATTATTTGCTAATTCCTATTGTTGTCATATATCATTTTGTGATTGAAATATTTTCGCGTCAAGAGATAAATCGAGTGGAGTGTCTTTTGTGGATGCATCCGAGGCATTTTTGAAATATGAGATATAGGGAAGAAGGTAGGACATCTGTTACTAAAGAAAAGAAAAAAGGGCTTGGGAGGCAAAAGCAGGT